CTTACTACTACACACACACACACACACACACACACACACACACACACACACACACACTCTCTCTCTCTCTCTCTCTCTCTCTCTCTCTCTCTCTCTCTCTCTCTCTTTTCCGGCTAGGCAGGTCTTCCGTAGCTCTCACAGTTCTAATTATTTCCTACTGCCCTAATGCTTTCTCACTATTAAATTCTCCATTGACTATAATAAAGTCTCCCTGCTCTCAAGAGCTTGGAGAGATTTTTTTTTTTTTTTTGAAGACTGGGAAAGTGGTGGTGTGAGGAGGGGAGTGGAGGAAAAGAGATTCGCTTGCCAAGGTGGGGTTTCCCAAGCTATCACAGCTCTAATAAGAACCTTATCATGAAATGGGCTATTCATTTGTGAGTGGGATGTAGTAATGCACTCTAGCAAGGTTTTGTCACTATCATACACATAAGGCATGCGTTTTACAATACTATACATGCTACTAATGTAGATTACATTGGTCTGTGTAAAGATGAATGATTATTTTCCACTGAAAATATAAAGCAATTTGAAATTAGTTAGATATTGCTATCGTTTTTGGGGAAGGTGGAGTGTTGTTTTGTGATGGGGCAATTGCTGCAGTATGTTCCTGAATTTTAGAAATCAAATAAATTACAGCCATTCAGGATTCACCAAGAACATTTTTATGAGTCCAAATGAACTGAGATGGCATGAATCTAAAAGCTACCACATGTTAAAATATGGAATAGTTTGAATATGATACTGTACTTTCAATATGGATGTTGGTAGCAGTTTGAAAAAGCAGCACAGCTGATCATCAGGTACACATACATTATACAGACAGCGGGAGAATTTGTAGCCGATTATATGGAGATAAATGTGTTGTTCTTTTAACTGCAGTTAACTGTAAAAACAAAAACAAAAACAAAACAAGATTAGTTAACCTGAACTAAAACATTCTAATCCATGCCAAGTGCACCTGTTAAGGTAGAATGTTGCACTACAGAGAGAAATGATATTCTTTACCAGTATGCTTACAGTACATCAGAATTGCTGTATATACGCTTATAGTCACCTATCATAACTCTTACTTTCTGTCAATTATATAATCTCAATTGTCAATTTTATTGAAACAACATATTCAATAAACAGTGTTAGTGACTCACCATATGATTGCTCAGTTTGCATTGTGTACTCCTATAGTTATTTTCTGTTTTGTAATAGTCTGTATATCTTAAACCTGCCCTTGTTAATTTTCGAACAGTTACTTTAATCATAACTAATATCGTAAGTCATAATTATGTTTTAATAATAAAATGGCTAATTGGCTTTGAAGATACTATCTTTTTTGCCACCAAAATTTTAAGTAGTTTTTTTTTCAGAGAAGATGATGAGCAAGCTTACTGAAACAAATGTAGTATATTTCTGTCTGCTCCCAATACTACACTCAGTGTTT